CCCGTCTTTGTGTTCGGCCGTGCTCTCATGGATCTCCCTCTCGCATTTGTTCATGTGTGATACACATGTGTGGGCGTTGTTTAACCTCCACCGCGCTGTATGCACGCGTGTACGGGTCCATCTACGGACGAATGGATCCACTCACAACAGCATACATATTGGTGAAATTGAGAGCTTGAGAGCGAAGCATGAAATTGAGAGCGAGAGCCAAAAAAAAAATAATAGTATTTTTTTTGAAAAAGTGGGGCCCGTTAGGCTACTTCTTATGTGTAATATCTGTATGATACGAACGCACACAACAACATATTGGTGAAATTGAGAGCGAAGCATGAAATTGAGAGCGAGAGCCAAAAAAAAAATAAAATTCGGGTCCAGACGCCTCTTGCCATTTCTTGGGAAGTAGGGGGCGGGCTCTTCCAAGAAGCGGCGCAAATTGAAGGTCTCATCAGCAGCGTCACGAGCATATGCGTGTCATCGCGATCGGATGCTGCAGCTAGGAGCTAGACAAATTGCTAGATTTCCCCAGATTGGCTATCATTCCTGCCTCAATCTGTTTCAGGGCGATTTGATCGCGGGCGGTGAGCTCTGCTGTAGATTCTGCTCCCCGCTGTAGCTCCACAACGAGAGACGCCCACAGGATGACCAGGGTATCGGCTTGTAGCTACGGGCTAGGCCTTCAACTCAAGTCACGCAGCAAGCTCCACCTCTCAGCAGTAGTCCAGCTGCAGCGCATCGCGCAATCTTTCTCTCAATCAGATGCTTGGCTCTCAATTTCACCAATATGCTGTTTCATGCAACGCGACAGGCGCGCGACATCAAGAGGGCCGGCGCGGTTCAGCAGGGGCTGGCGAACTCGGCGTGGGCGAGCCACAAGGACTGGCTCAAGGGGCTCAAGTACCTCACCACTCTGGTGTCAAGGAGGCTTGTTTGATGCCCTGCCCTCTGTTTCTTGGTACACAAAGTTATCCTCCCATCTTTTTGGAGACAAAAGTAGCAGTACCGGTAGGATGATGGGTTGGAAAAAGAATGGTCCAGTAACGATGCGGTAGCGCAGCGCACCTCTTCGCCATGTGTTTGGTATCGTCTTCGTTGATGAGGAACGCAGAGGGACAGGAAATGGGAGGAAAAGAAAGTTGGGTCGCAACAGCAGTGAAGTGCTCCGTTCACCAGTTTGCTCGCTCACGGCGGGCGCCCCTTAAGGGTATGGTTGGGTATTTTCCTCCGCTTGATACTTGATCATTTTTTCAGATCTATCTTTGCTGTGTCGCGGTGATGCCTGTGGCAAACTGCTGTGCTCCGTGCCCACGTTGTCAAGAATGTTTGGTTCGACGAGGGCACGTAAAACAAACTCTTTGCTTTTTGCTTTCGGCGAAACAGGTGTCGGGGGACGCGGGCGGATGTCGTGTTTTTATATAGGTTTCGTTTTTTTTTTTTTTTGCTGTTTTTGTCGGTGGTGCTGGCGCGATCGCTATTCAGTTAGCTCTCTAGTATCTTCTGCTCGCTCTCGGGCGTGAGATTGAGGACACGTTGTGAAACCGTTCGCCTTTTTTTTTGCGGTGTTTCCTTTGGAAGTTGGGGAGGATGACATCCCCTCCACAACGTGGGTCAGCAAAGGGGACGCTTCCGCACGACGTAGCTTTTACATTGTCCAGCTGCAAAGCATGGAACGGCTGCAGTTGGCAGCGTCAGCGTCGGTGTGAGAGCTGCTGAGTTCCTCCCAACTACAGCAGTAGCACGCCGAGCGCGAGGGAGGGTCCCTGTTGCATGGAGGATGGGCACACTCGCTCAAACCTTTTGGAGCCGGCACGCTGCCTGCCGCCATCTGTCGTCGAGGCTGCGGCTGACACCGGCGGCCATTGGCTGCTGTTACTCGCCGACCCTGCCTCAAGTTGGAAGTACTTCGATTAGCTCCTTTTCCGGCCTCGTTCCCTTCACCCCCACGGCAACGTCGCCTTCCCGCAGTCAATCCACGGGATGGGATGGGTGGGATGAATGGGATGGAACCGGTGGTTGAGCGCATTGCTGCCGAGGTATACATATGCTTAGGTACAAGCGGATTTTCGATTGTCTCATGTCCTTGCCCTGTCTCGTTCGAATCTCGCGCCACGTCCAAGGTGTTTGGACACATATAATGCGACTTCGCACACGTTTACCCTCTATGGCTATCACCCTTCCTCAACAAGACTGGTTGGTGACGGCCTCCACCCCACTTACAACCGGTATAGCTTGTACCTTTCCCCAAACCATGTGTGTTACCATTAGAAAGCACCTCTCTGCCGCCCCCGGTTACCAAACGACCTAATAGGCGCCATCCGAGAGAGACGTTTGATCCGGTAGAACAAGAACGGCCAACTACGCTACGGCGTCACAGAAACAATTTACCACCCTCTCCAACAGATTGAAGCGTGACTACACAAAACTCCACCCTAAATCTCAAACGGCATGGAGACAACCTACAAATCGAAGATAAACGTGCGGGGCCTGCCAGCGAACCTCAAGCAACGAAAGCTACTGGCCGTTTAGCCCCCCAAACCGCCATTGCCTGCTAGGAAGAAGACGGGGGGAAAGAAGGTGTGCAGTTTTGAGGGAGGGAGCCGCTGCCTGTCTCTTCTCTAGGCGGTCTCTCGGTCCAGCGAACGGAGGAGGCTGAAGAGCAACGCCACTCCATACCCGGTTGCCCTGCGATTACGACACGGGAGAGTGAGAGAGTGAGAGAGAGTCAGGAAGGGAAATGTAGGGAGATGTAGTGACAGAGAGAGATGGTGTAGATAGAGATGTAGAGAGATGTAGAGAGATGTAGACGATAGAGAGATGCAAACAAGAACGGCCGAACCAGCAAGTCAGCGACAACGACGACGACGTTTACACAGCTGTTGAGGAAGAGAAAAACAGACGGTTTAGAATTCTATTAGACTTCAAGTGGAAGCACCACGGGAAGGCGACACCGTCTCGTGTGTACCTCGAACATACGTGTAACGGCGACGAAGAAAATAACCAGGGTGCTGAACGTTTGTTCGTTCCCCACGGATGGATGCGGTGTGACGAAAGTCTTGTGCGCGTCTGGCTTTGAACGACTGCGCAAACAAACCGGCCCCCGTTGGTTCACCTAATTGACTCACGCTTCTGGCGGAGACACAAGCTTTGTGGTCCGAAAAATAAGACGTAAGGGTAAGGGTGCAACTGGCCCTTCGTTTGGATAGTGGTGGGCATCGCGCGGAGACCTACAATGACACAGGTCCAGCGCAGAGTCTGCCTTCGCAAAAACGTCACCAAATGCAGATCGGCACGGCCACGGCTACTCGTCACGGCAGCTGTAAGACGAAAAAGGGTCCGGTGGATGAGTCGCTACGCGCAGCAAAAGACCGCAGCAGCGGCGAGAGCATCCGTCGGGAAAACCTGCTGCAGCGCGAGCAACCCCTCCGTGCGGACACACACGCACACACACACGCACATACACACACACACACGAACCGAGCGCGGTCGATGCTGATAATAAAAGCACACACAGGTACACACGAACCGAGCGCGGTCGATGCTAATAATCAATACACACACACAATACGACGCTCACCTCTCCCCCTGGTGCGCCGGGGAAGCCATGTCGCAGTGGAGCCATCGACCGCCGCCGGCCGCGGGGCCGGCCACGAACGCTTCCATGTGGTTCGCGATGAACTGCCCGGCGCACGACACCTGAGCGTTCGAGCGGTCTGCCACCGAGTTTTTCATGTCCGCGACGGTGGACCTGCATGTTGCCAGGGCACACAACCGCGACAGCGGCGAGCGCGGGTGGGTTGGCGAATGCTCGACGGCGGGAAGGAAGTAACAGGTACACAACGCTAGCGCACGACAAAACCAAGTGTAGCTCGGTCGGCTTTCAAGTGAATCTCGGACGAGCTTAGGTAGTTGCGGTGGGCACATCCAGGAAACACGGATCCCTGTGTTACATGCCAAGAAGAAGACCTGGTCATCGTCCTACGGAAGAGTTTCCGCAGTTGTAAGTTCAGCGGGTACCCTTTGCCGGCTGTCCTCCACCTTGCCAGCAAAACCCCGCTGACAAAGCGAAGTCAGCAAGCAGCCTGGAAAGTGCTGTTTTTCTCTCGCAAGCAGCGTTGTGCTTCAGGGTCCAACGACCTGATCGAATGGCAACCACAAGACGCATACACACTGAAACACGCACGCCGACAAACCGGGCTCTCATTCCCCCCCCCCCC